AAGTTCCATCATAGATGGTTTTCTTCTCTGGTCTGGACACCCCCATCTACATTTCTTCCAGTTCCTCTCATTCCAAGATTACTGAGGAAACTGAAACAAGAAAGAGCGTCGTTAATCCTTATTGAACCAGCATGGCCAAGCCAATATTGGTTCATGGATCTACATCGACTGTCTATCCACTCACCGATTACTACTACTACTAGTCACAGAATGTCTAACTCAGCACCAGGGCAAATCTCTACATCCAAACCTCAAATCTTTCCACCTTACTGCATGAACACTCAGAAGAAATTGCTGCCGGGAGGTTCAGATCATCTTGGTGAGCATCAGAAAAGAATCCACTAGAGCCAGGTATACAGCTAAGTGGAAGAGATTTTCCATTTGGGTACAATCCCACAGTTTATTGCCCCATCTCTCAGAGGTTACACATGTGCTGGACTATGTTCTGCAGCTGAGATTGATAGATTCTAGGACTGGAAGGGACCTCGAGAGGTCATCGAGTCCAGTCCCCTGCCCGCATGACAGGACCAAATACTGTCTAGACCATCCCTGATAGACATTTATCTAACCTACTCTTAAATATCTCCAGAGATGGAGATTCCACAACCTCCCTAGGCAATTTATTCCAGTGTTTAACCACCCTGACAGTTAGGAACTTTTTCCTAATGTCCAACCTACACCTCCCTTGCTGCAGTTTAAGCCCATTGCTTCTTGTTTTACTCTTAGAGGCTAAGGTGAACAAGTTTTCTCCCTCCTCCTTATGACACCCTTTTAGATACCTGAAAACTGCTATCACGTCCCCTCTCAGTCTTCTTTTTTCCAAACTAAACAAACCCAATTCTTTCAGCCTTCCTTCATAGGTCATGTTCTCAAGACCTTTAATCATTCTTGTTGCTCTTCTCTGGACCCTCTCCAATTTCTCCACATCTTTCTTGAAATGCAGTGCCCAGAACTGGACACAATACTCCAGCTGAGGCCTAACCAGCGCAGAGTAGAGCGGAAGAATGACTTCTCGTGTCTTGCTCACAACACACCTGTTAATACATCCCAGACTCACGTTTGCTTTTTTTGCAACAGCATCACACTGTTGACTCATATTTAGCTTGTGGTCCACTATAACCCCTAGATCCCTTTCTGCCGTACTCCTTCCTAGACAGTCTCTTCCCATTCTGTATGTGTGAAACTGATTTTTCCTTCCTAAGTGGAGCACTTTGCATTTGTCTTTGTTAAATCATCAGGCCTTTCAAATAATTTTGTGATAGTTCACCTAGCCTCTATTTCTGCTTTATATCCACCAGTAGATGTTTTTTCCATCATCTTTCATCCCCTCATTTCTTGGTTTTTGAAAGGCCTAATCAACTTTTACCCTCCCTTGTCTGCTTCTGTACCAGTATGGTATTTAGATCTAGTTCTCTCCAAATCTATGGCCCCTGTTTGAGAGCCTATGACTACAACTTCATTACATTCATTGTCAATGAAGATGGTGTTTTTGCTAGATATAAATTCTGCAAGGAGGGTTTCAGAACTTCACCCTTTCTTGGATGATCCTCCTTTCACAGTCTTTCATAAGGACAAGGTATCCGTTAAGTTTATATCCAAGTTTCTGCCTTCCATCTAAGCCAAATGATTAATTTTTGGTGATTCTCCCCCCCCCCCCCCCAAAAAAAAACCAACCAAACCTCCATTCATCTGAGGCTGAAGACGCACTCCATGCTTCGGATGTTCATAGAGCCCATTGCATTTTACTTGGATCACACTAGATCCTTCAGGTCTTCCCCCCCTCCCCCCCCAGAATCTTTGTAAACTATACTGAAATAATTAAAGGTCAATCAGTATCATCTCAATGCATCTCACATTTGGTTTCTGTCTGTTTACGATTTTTTTACAATCTTGCTAAAGTCTCTTCTCTATCAAGAATAGCAACTTACTCCACCTCATCAGCTTTCCTGAGCAATGTTCCAATAACTAATATGTATGCATATTGTACATGTGGTCATCTACATGTACTTTCCACTCTTTATGCCATCACTCATCCCTCTCACGATGAAGTCAGCTTTGGCAAATCGGGTATTACAGTCTCTGTTTGGATGAGCCAAAGTTCCTGGTCCTATAAGGGAACTGCTGATGCATCACCTACAGTGGAATTTATATGTGCACAATCACTCAAAGAACAAGTTACTGTAAGGTAAGTAATTTTTTTCTTCATGTGTGCTGGTATTTCTTCAAACATATGGGGTCTTAAAATTGTAGAGTGGGGACCCTCCTTATAGATTCTGAGGATCTCCCCCTGCAACATTACTTGTCTCCTCTTCCCCACAAAACTCCTTAAAAAAAGGCAGTTCTGAACAATCATTGGGAACAATCCTCCTCCCCCACTCCCTGCTTGCTGTCACTGTATCAGGCACACCGTCTCCCCTCTGAGCATCCTCTTCCCACCCCCATGATAACACCTGTGAGTAGTTGAGCTCAGAGATGTGACACTCTGTGGAAAGGAACCCCAGGGCACAGAGCTCTGTCTGCTTCACCAACCAGACAGAGAACCCTCTTGCCCCCAGGCTGGGAACAGGTCACTCTGATTCCTGTGCAGCCCCAGGGAGATAAGTGGAGGTGGGCATGTTGCGGCGAGGAAGATAGTGGCAGCACCCTAGCTGATGGCGGGACTGTGTCTCAGGAACTAGGATCTGCTCTCTCTTGGCTCCTAGCCCCTAAATCCCACCTCTGAGACAGGAAAGATGATGATTTTGCGATCTGAGAGTATTGAAAAAACTGCTGCAAGCCTTTGCTACCCTGGAGTTTTGGAATTCACACTGATGAAGCCCCTTATGTCAAGCATAACTGCACAAATCACCAATAGTTTGTTCCATAAACAATTTTTTTTCTATTTGTTGATTTCTGTCCTCCAATATTAACCCTGATATTAACTTCACAGTTTTCCAGGTAAATTTTTGCACTGATTTTTCACCCTTTTTAAATGTTTGAAATAAATACTGATACATTTCCTGGAAACTTTAGAAAAAATATAAACCAGAAACGCAGGTCCTTACATATGGTGAAAAGACATGAATTCGTCTAGACTAATTATGCTGCAAATACCCATTTTGAGAAGACAAACCTAAAAGGTAAACTTCATGTCCCAAATGTTGGAGCCTGATAATAGTGGAAAAATCAGACATCCTTGCTAATACTTTGAGCTCTAACAGTAGCCCAATACATTTAAAATATACAGAAGTCTTCAGTGTTATTGAGCATGAGGTGCTGCTAACTCAAATGGTGAGACCTCCAACTAAATATGGACAAGATGGAGATGATGCTGGTTTGAAAAATGAAGTATTTTGAAAACACGGCTGTGATCATGGCATCTAAATTGTCTAGACTTAAGCTCCAGCTACCTCAGAGACTGCTTTTCCCTCTATGCTCTGCCACAGTCTCCTCTCTGCAGAGATGTTTAAACTATCACATGAGTTCCCAACAAGCCATTATCCTCATGGCTGTCCTCAGCTCTGTATCTTTCCCTGGAAATCTGCAATAGCCCAAATCTAGCAACCTCTCATAGTAGATGTAAGACACAACTGTTTCATAGATGGGCGTAGGGCCAGAACTTCAAGGAACACAATTTTCTGGATGACAATTCTCTCCCTTTAAAAATGGCATCTCTTTGAAAGCTGATGTAATATTTGCTGCATCCTAGTGAAGTTTGTGGGCAGAAAATATAGGCAAGAAAGGCAAAAGGTGTAAAATAAATGCAATTATATTTTTGCACAAGTTCATAGATTTGTTCCATCATTGTCATGGAAACCCAGGTAGATTTTGGTTATAGTGGTGGTGTAAAATCTCAAGGTTATGTACCTACACACCTAGGATATCTCATTACACTTTTTAAACTACTAATTACTGTTCATCTTCACATATAGCTAAAACTTTGGTCGAGAGACTTGAACACCTAGTCTCCTGCCAAAATGGTCAATCTAAACATTTTTCTACATTTCCTTAAATTTTGGCCCAAAAATGAAATAAAACCTTTAATGTGTCTACTCAATGGTAGTTCTGTTATAACTGCTGATCCTGTGACAAAAAGAGCCAATACAACTGCCTTTTTGCTGACAGAACAATATACACAGGTGGTTTGTGCTCAAACCATTGTACTTTTCTGTGGAGAAGGCAGATCCAAGCCCCTATTGCATCTTTCTCTTACTAAACAGAATTTTTGTATGTGAATACCAGTATGTCTGCATCAGGCAATACATTGATTTTAAAGAATTATAGTGCATTTTAAAATTTTCACTAGATTTTAATGCTCTTATTTCTTTCACTGGAAAATAAACTTATTGGGAAAATTTACAGGTCATGAAGTTTCAAGATAAAGAAACCATAAGACTATCAATAGCTCAACCAAAATGGCATGGTTGTGAAATAGGGCTTTGTTATGGACCTATGCTGTTAGGGCAACCATATTTCCTGCAATCAACTTAGCTTCACTCCCATTTTCTGCTAAGGGGACTTTTAGCTTCACTTCTATTGAGAGCAATGGAAGATAGTGGCCATTTTGAAAGAGGATAGATCTTCATGGAATTCTTTGTATTAGAACATTATTTGTGTGTACCTGCTGAAGAAGACCCTTTCAATAATGGAGAATAACAGTAAAAAAAAATTAATCCTTTAAAAAAATGTAACCAGTGCATGAGAGTTCATTGCGTTTTAACTGATATAGAAGTTTTAATAGTCTGCATTATTAAGATAATTCAAGGCCAAAAAAAAGGTTTGATATGGTGCTAAATTTCTTAAAGGATCCATTTAAAAATTAATTTTAACTCATAAACTAACCAATTTTCTTGTAAATTCTGAGAAAATGTATTCTATACTCGAAGAGTAAGAGCTGTAATTTTTGGGATGATACTCAGTATTCTTCATATATAACAAACTGGTTGAATCCTGCTTTAAGTGCAAAATTCATCTCACCCTAAATGAACTGCAACCCTTCTATCTTTGTCTTTCTTTTCTAGTTATTGAGCCGAAAAGACAAAACTACCTTTGAAAAGTTGGAGTATGTTATGAGTAAAGAAGATAATTACAAACGACTTAGAGACTATATTAACAGCTTGAAGATGACTCCTTGTATTCCTTATTTAGGTAGGTAAGCTTAATATGTTTGGTGTGCAGTGTTAAGGCAATAGTACTTGCACAGTGACTTGCAGAAAAACTAAAAGCCATCTTTTAAGCTGTATTTGAGAGTATATTACTGCTTTTACAAAGAATGTAAAAGCACTTGGTTGGCTGTAAATGTTCTGTATATAGCACAGGGGCGGGCAAACTTTTTGGCCTGAGGGCCGCATCGGGTTTCAGAAATTGTATGGAGGGCCAGTTAGGGGAGGCTGTGCCTCCCCAAACAGCCAGGTGTGGCTCGGACCCCGCCCCCTAGCCGACCTACCTGCCTCTCGCCCCCTGACGCGCCCCCCCCCCCCCCGGGACTCCTGCCCCATCCATCGCTCCAGCTGTCTGTCCCCTGACCGCCCCTAGACTCCCTGCCCCCTGCCGTCCCATCCCAACCCCGCCGTCCCATCCCAACCCCCCCTCCTTCCTGACTGCCCTCTGGGACCCCTGCCCCATCCAACAAACTCTTTCCCTAACTGCTCCCCACAGCTCCCCCCACCCCATCCAACCCCCCCTTTCTTTCCTGACTGCCCCCCCCCCGGGATCCTTACCCT